ATTTTCTGTTTCATCATTCTCTAGATTTATAATTCTTAACGCTTGTCTTGCTATTGCCTATATCGTCTAGCTCTTTCGTCTATTTCTCACGTATCAGAATTCTCGACCTTGAATCCTCTTACAGACGGACCAAAATGTCCGTCTCCGTTTCACGTGTTTCATGAATATTACAGTCCGAGTTATCAAGCGTAATTGACGTTCACGAACCTTAATCCATCCTCCAACTAAAACGCGTTCTATTTCGAACAGTATGTCTTTTAAAATTAATAACATTCTTTATTATCTTTTATCTCTTATTATCTATTTGACTATTATTAGTATCAATAAAACTTCCATTTTCTCTGAAGTTATTGACGATAAAGTCTTCGACGACAACCCTTTGTACTCGAAAGTTTTTCACTAGAAATACTCAACACTCTTTGATAAAATATAGACGACGCTTGTTGCGACTAATGGGAATAATTGAATCGATAAATTAAAGGACAAAACTATTCTACATTGATATTTCGCATAGTGACGCGTTACACAAAATTTAGCGTTAAACATCGAACTTTATAATTTTACTGTATCAAGCCAAGTGGTGACTGAGAGTCACCTCCCGAGTGCAAAGGGTTAAATGGCACGACCACTCGAAGAAACACTCTTCCCAAAGCGCGCACCAGGGGCCAGCCAAAGAGGACAACGTGCCGCGTCTAAAACGTGCACGGTTCACCGTCTACGCCGGTATATTTGCACCGCGTGCTCGTCCGCGAGGCAACCGGACGAACCGTGCCCCGACTGCACAGCACGACGATCTCTTGCCAGTCAGTAGCTTCATGATCACAGCACGAGCGAGCCGGCCGCGCGAACGTTTCCCGCTGACTTTTACGGCAGCGTCCGTTCCTTTGTTCGCTCGTCGCCTAATCGCGAAAGTTTCGCGCCGCGTGTTCGACCAGCCGCAGCCAGTAAACTCCTCGAACGAAACCCTGTCGCGCAAAAGTGCTACCGCCCGTGTCCAAGTGAATTTATCCCTTCGCGGAAGGTTGTGCTCGAAAGTGCGCGTGCTTCTCCGTGCAAAAGTAAATTGTGCATTCGATTCGTAACCGCCGGAAGATAGAAAGCGACGGATTTCCGAGTAGACGTGTTCGTTTCGTAGAGTTTAGTAAGGCGGTTTAACGAGCATATGATCTGTAGAGATCATAGTGTCGGTGATCCATATTGCGTGTAACACATAACTCGAGGCAATTGATCCTTTACGATTTAGAAACTTTCGAGTTCCAGAGGTTTCCCTGTACTTGATGTCTTCGAATGATTCCTTTTGACTTCTGATTCTGGAAAGAATGTCATCGGTATGCTAATACTGCAGTATCCTCGAAGAGATCATCCTTCGTAACGATTTAAACAAAGCGCCGCGATTGATAAGTAACATTTAATTCGGAGTTGAAAGGATAACTAATTCTCGTTTGATGCTTAAAGTCTGCTCGGAGCATTCGTCACGCGGTTGACGCTGCGTGTCTTATTATTAGTCACACGTTTTTCCGGGTGAACGTTTGTTCGCCGGCAGCAGACAGCCTTGGTCTAGGTGTCTCAGCCGAAGTGTCCGCCTGGTTGCCCCGCGACACACTTCTTCGGCCGCGGATAGAACAACTTTTTGTTGTTTTCTCTTTTGCCTCTGTCCCCGAACTGTAACTCGATTCGAAAGCGGCTCTAGCGGGCTCGGTCAGTTTCTTTTCGCGTGGCGCGCGCGAAACTAGAACTCCCGGGACACCGTGTGTCCGTGCATATTGGATTTCCACGTACGATTGGACGGGGCATTCAAAAGGGCAACGTTCGATAAGGTATCCCGTAGCGGCGAACGAAATTACACCGCGAGGACGTGATCGCCGCGCCGGGAATCTGGCTGGGAAAGGCGGTTCTTCTTCGCTTGCGAGTTTGTCCCTGTGACCCGAAGAGGTTGTTTCATAAGAGACTCGAGGAACCTGCTTATCTTCCTCGCGAGATGTTAATGTGGACAGTGAAGGCAGCAAGAGTGGAGGATCGTCTAGTGTCTTTCGTTGAGAAAGCTGTAGCCTTTGTTCCCAAGCTTTCGCTTGTAGCTTTAGACTCGTCGAACTCGATTATGGACATCAATGGAGCTTGCAGGAATGAACATTTCAGTTTTCTTATTGGAACTGTTTCTTTGTTTCCTTCCTCGCGTTGTTTTAAGCGGATTATCTGAATTTCTCAGTAACTATTCGCTGCATCGCTGAAACGGAGGACTGGTTCAATGGCACTTGTACCTTTAGTTCAGCTCTCAGTTTTTCGCGATAATCGTCGAATGGTTTGAGACAAATGCTTGTTGAATTTTAAAATGATGTGCACTCTCAGACGTAAAGTCATGGTTATGCGATTTTATATTTTATATTTTTATATGCTTCGCAGCTTTGCTTCAATATAAATGTATATTAAAATTCATGAAGATTCCGTTTAAACCAGGTGTCCTTTAACCAGATTTTGAGATCAGTATTCGCCAGTGATGGCAAGTTCGTCGAGAGTAGCTCGAATAAGTCTGTCGCCTAGAATATTCATGAACAAGATGAAACAAAGGCCAACGCGGTCTATCGTGTTCCGTCGTCCGCCATTACGTAATTGTCATAGGACTTAATCGATTGTTCAACGATCCCGACACTGCTGATAGAGTGTCAGTCACTTTTAGACTCTCTGGCCGACTGATCTTTGCGCCTTTATCTCGAATTCCGCGGCGAGTTTACGGCCCTGATAAAGATTCACGAGCGTTTATCGGTTCTCGGGTATCTTGACTTTATCCCCGATCACTCGAATATTTCCTTTATCGCGATCGCGAACGTATCAAACGCTAAGATCCTTCTCAAACGATCGTAAGAAATTAAATACTAAATTTCTCTCTTCGTATCTACGAATCGCAGATTGTATCGCTTGTTCCTGCAATCGCTACTAATCTGTGGACTTACACGAGACACGAAAGTATTAAGCGTTCCCGTTAGTTCGTACCGCCCGCCATTTTCGTTGGTCATTTTTCTTCCATTTCCTCGCCTCCTTTTCTATTCGTGGTTCTCGTATTCGATTCCCGGTATTGTAAAACAGAATTGAACATTCCAGGAAATTGCATACGCATCTGCAATTAGACGTTACGATCCCCTTAAACGATTCTGGGCTCACAGCTTCTCGGTACCGCATGAATAACTCGTTTCCAGAATGCCGACAAAATGGCCGCCTCGCGTTTCGCAGTCGATCGTCGGCCGACTAGGAAACTAACTTATTTAGTTACCTAGCAATCTAATTATCGTCTATCGACATTAATATCGATGTATAATGTTTCAACTCTGCGCTTTAACGCGTTTTAACGTATTTCGATAAACTATAAATAGTAAAATTAAAGCGAATAAAGGGACATTGAACTATTAGCTACGCGTATACCCGTATTCATCTTTGTCTTCAGCTGACTTCCAGTTTCCTCGTTTATTCAGTGAAAATTCCGAGATTTTTGCGTCGGTCTTACATCATAACATACGTAAGAATGTAAATTGGTTTATAATTACGTGCATTGCGGGACAAAACCGCTTCGGATCGAGATTATTCCCTTCACTTCTACTTGGCGTCGGTGATCATTCGTGTAACAGATTATGTACCATTTGTTCTCTGCGTCGGCCGCATGGAATTCTCAGGTTTTTTTGTATCGGAAAAACTGTTCCGAAGTCTCGCCAGCTAATCTCGCACTGCATCGGACATCTCGGTGCCAGTCGTTACGCTAATTGACAGTGATAGGACGACAGGATACAGTTTAATTGGTACGCGTGATCAATTCGGAATTGGGAACGTTCCGCGGTCGCATTTCAACTGTCCAGGAGAGTCTACACTTTTTTCTCTTTTATTTCAACGTCGACGAAATAAATCGTCGTTCCCACCGACAAATAAAGTTTCTTCGCTGTGCAATTTTACATTGCTTCAAATTCACGTTTTCGCCTATCTGGCGGCGAAGTTGTTCAAATTTTGGAAACCATTCAAATACATCAACGAGTAAATTAATTTCCAACTATATGCCAGTGTTTCATACATACGAAAAAGCAATTTAACGAGCTGTACACATATTTGCCATAATGTAGGTGATCGATGGTAAACACAGGCTGCCCGATGGCACGCGCCGGTGTCAACACGTTAAACCGCCTTTGTTCGATGCGTCTGCACGCGTGATAAGGATTTTATTCGATAAGAAAATTGGCGTCCGTTTAAGCAGGTTACAAAGCCGCCATCCTGTCTAATCAATCATTTAATCTGGCTCATTTGAACGTTGCATAACATCGCCACCCCTCGCGCGAACGTTCGATTAAGTACTCGTGACCCCATGTCACCGTAATTTCCTCGCGAAGATTGCGATAACGAGGGCGTGAAATACCGTTAGTCTAATCATAGCATTTGGACAAACGATTCTTTATTATGAAAATAACGAGATGTAGGTTATATTTGATTGCGCGGCCAGCGGGCCTGTAGGTAAATAGGTCATCAGGTGATTGTAGGATTTTCCCTAATCAGCGCGGTGCGTGGGGTTCTCGCTCGAATAACAAGTCGTCGCATTTTATTTATAGATATCGTGATCCCTTGCGAACCTCGTTGGTCGTTTTTATCGGAAAGTTTAAATGCACCGCGGGAACATGTGATTCGGCGCCAAATATTGCACCAGCATAACCTATCGCAGGGCAAGGTTGCGCGGTATCCGGTGTGCGAATCAATCGGTCGATGATTCGACGATTTCTGTTAAATATCGTGAGAGATAATAGTGTTTCTTTCGTTGGAGGACCACAGAGTGCGAGTTATTCGTTTCCCCATTCTTTTCTTTCGAACGGAATGGAAATGTTAATCGCTGTCATGCGGTCTGCGAGTAATTTCCAGTAACTACGTGTGTCGTATCGGACATTGTGACATCGTTGAAAGACAATAACAGAAAGAAAACATGCTCCGACGTAACCAGAAAGCTCTATTGTACTGTGAACTGTTTGGACTTTCAGAGGAGGACGAATCACAGATCTTCGTGAAGTTTTTCAAATTTCACAAATGTTACGACCTAATACCGACCAGTGCCAAGTTGGTCGTTTTCGACACGCACCTCCTCGTCAAGAAGGCCTTCTTCGCTCTTGTCTACAATGGTATGTAACAGATTAAGTCACTGTGATCTGGCCAGTTGTTTCGTTTCAGTTACCAATGGTGGCATGTTTATTGTTTCACGCGTTGGTTTTTTGTGCAGGTGTAAGAGCAGCACCGTTATGGGACAGCGCAAGGCAAGAATTTGTGGGGATGTTAACTATAACAGACTTTATAAAAATTCTGCAAATGTATTATACCAGCCCATCTGTGACAATGGATGAATTGGAAGAGCATGAATTAGATACATGGAGAAGTAAATATTTCTTTTTTCTATGAAAGTTTCGCTGTGAGATTATGATATTTAATGAACTTTATTGTTTTAGAAGTCTTGAAGGATCAGGTTCATCCATTAGTGAGCATTAGCCCAGATGCATCTTTGTACGAGGCGATTAAAACACTTGTTCAAAATAGAATTCATCGTTTGCCTGTGATAGATCCGGATACTGGAAATGTTCTCTATATCTTGACACACAAACGAATACTTAGGTTCCTCTTTCTTTATGTAAGTACATAGCAAGATACTTATGAGAACAACCAGAGTCTGAAATTAATGATAATAATTTAATAATAGATTCATGAGCTACCAAAGCCATCATTTACAAATAAAACATTGAGGGAGTTAAGGATAGGTACATTTGATAATATTGAAACGGCAACTGAAGAAACTAGCATAATTTTAGCACTCAAGAAATTTGTAGAGAGGAGAGTTTCAGCATTACCGATCATTGATGCTGAGGGAAAATTGGTGAACATTTATTCAAAGTTTGATGTTATAGTAAGTATATTAGAATTATCGAATTCTACACTTCTAAATTTCTTACAATTAACATGTAAATAATCTTACACATTCTTTTCAGAATTTAGCTGCAGAGAAAACATATAACAATCTAGATGTCTCATTAAGAGAAGCAAATGAGCATCGTAATGAGTGGTTTGAGGGAGTTCAAAGTTGTAAATTAGATGAAACACTGTTTACTATTATGGAAAGAATTGTTAGGGCAGAGGTATAACATTTTCTATCCTTTTATTTTAAAGAATCAAATAAATATGTGACTTACAGGAAGTTATAATAAAATATTACAATTATTCAGGTCCATAGGCTAGTAGTGGTTGATGATGATGATAAAGTTATTGGTATAATTTCTCTATCTGACTTACTCTTCTACCTCGTTCTTAGGCCTTGCGGTAAAAATACTTATATTTTATACTACTATACAGTTTATGTGCAATTATGAAAAAACAGCTATCAATAACTAACGATAATTTACAGGTGAAGATGGCAGTAGCAATAAAAATAGTTCTATATCGTTAAGAGCTCAGGATTCGCTGTCAAAAGCTCCGAGTTCTGTACAGTTGGAAGCTTCTCTTCCTGATGGTGAACAAGAAGCTGAACCAGATGCAGCCGACGTAAACCAATCCGAAGAAGCTCCCGCGACACCTAGTCCACCGCTGAGTCCAGCAGCGTCAGATATTTCTGAACCTCAATCTAATTTAGTAAACCAGTCTCAAGAACCTACATGGAGGGAAGTAACTGTATCGGGGGGCGAATGAGACAACATAATTCTAACATGCTATTAAGCATGGTATTGTGAACGGTTCACCACTGTTAAATTAAGATTAAATTTGCAGTGGAACAGCGGTAAGCAGCGAACAAATGAGCGTGTGTTTTTCATCTGTTTTTAATACTCGCGTTGTCTTAAGAATTCATGAAAAATACACGGAACAATTATTCTGTGCTCATCGAATCAAGCGCTAGAAGTGGAAATTGTTAACTGAAATTATTAAGTTATGTCAAACGCGAAGATAACGAATGAGTTTTACTGGACGCGACAAACAATAATAACTCTACGCTGTGTAATGTATAAGGTTGAGTAAGCTTAATTTTTTATGGTACAAATGCTACTCAGCATATAGACGTTCGAGCTTCTTGCCAGGAACGATTGCTACGCCATTGATTGCTCAGGGTATGAATTCTCTACACCCTTTCTTCTATCGTACACTGGGAATGTTTCAAAAAGAGTTTCGAGAAGAGAAAGTAGCTGTTTTCTCCTTTACATTTATAACACCGCCGTGCTTTTTTCACATTGGAACCTTTGCGTTTGATTTCAGAAAAAGAAAGAACGATTAATGTATAACGTACCGTCTTGTTTAGTAGACCTATACACAAAGTATGAAACAAAAAGTAGCTATATACCGAAGAGTGCTCCATAAGGAATAAATACGGAGCCCATTTTTATAAAGGCCTTCCATGAGATAATCCCGCCCTATTGAAACGACTACCATAGTTACAATCGGAAGTCTCTAAATATGTGCACCTTTCTTTCTTTACAACTATAATGTTTTTGCCCATGAATGTTTTACAACGGACGCGTGAACAATTAGAAACTGACGTACATAGTATACACTTCATTTTTATATAATTGCATAGCGTGTCGTACACTATACAAGAGAAAAAATACAATATGGTGCTTTTGATTTTATGTTATAACAGACTAATATAATCGGATAAATTCAATAAAATAAAATGACGTAACGAATAACGTTACGATTGAATTCGACTAACAGTTATAGTATGAATCATTGTTATACAGCTGTACATCACTGGAAAAGATTGATGTACAGGAAGGCAATACTTATATTTATTGTAACTGCAGTCTTTCATTGGACTTTTATGCCATTCTTTTGTGTATGTTACATAATAACATTTACAAACGACATATTGTTGAATATTTACCTATCGTTCGTGGCTGTACTTGTTGCGCACTCTCGACCAGTTCTCATTCGAGCACCGACACTTCGTTTAGTACCTACACGATTTTGTATTACCGCGCAGAAATGTCTGAGCTTATTTCTACAGCTTTACAACTTTTAAATCAAAATTCGAGGAACTGCTCGTATCGTCCCGATTTCTCTTATTGCAGGGTAATTCAATTTGATAACGTTTATAATTGTTATGATATTATCAGAAAATGCCTCCCGGTCGACAAACGTTGGCAGCATAAAGTCGATTGATAGGCTTCTTCCGGTAGGTAAAGTGTTAAGTAACAGGCCTATTAAAATCATTGGAACGTAACATCATCTTTTCTTACCTTGAGCATGCGCTGCCACCAATCTTTTAATCGATGCTTTAAATATTTAGAGCTATCCGCAGTACTTTATTTGAGTTACTTACAAACAGTTTGATTGTGAATATATTCATTTTATATTTATTTTAGACTTGTGTGTACATATATATATAATTTAACTTAATTTTATGTCTTTTGAACACTCGTATCTCGTTTCTATCTGCTTTATGTGAAACTTTTTTATCAAATTAACCATCACGTTAGCGATACCGATTCGAACAAGCTATGGATGAAAGTATGAACAGTGTACTATAAAGTTTTAAAGGGATTTTTGACCGAAATTTCTGTATATTAAGTAACGAAGAATGAAATTGTAAGTGGCGTCACATAAAATGCGGAAGGAAAGTTATGGATTATCACATTTAATCTTGTTACTAATTCGCGCGTCTAATCAACGATCGTTCGAAAAGAATTCGTTTAAGATGATTTCACACGAATTGTCATTTACGTTGTTCCCGATTTTTCATGTAACGTGTATAATGTAAGTATGCCGTACGACGATGAAAAATGCACCGAGACTACTGGATTTTATTTGAATAAAATTCACCATTAATTACATATACACGATCTCCACGGAATACGTGGTTGGAGGGCGGCATTCGTTATGCGATCAGCCGAGGAAAATTGTTTCTTCGCGAAACATTTCATTATTCTACGCTTACTGCACGAAAAGAGATGAAATTTAACGATTTACGCGAAGATCTGTGTGTGTGTTACATCTATATGTGGAAATTTGTATATAAAATGGCCTCTGTGCCAAGGGACACGGTTTCCTGTTTGGCGCATTGCTCCATTTTGCTCTGTAGAAGTATGGGTAAAAAAGAAACCACCTATTCGATCTTGAAGGGGACAGTGCCTGTAATTTAGTGAATTTATTCCTAGGTACGTTTACGAGGATAAGAGTTTAACAAAAGAAAAAAAAAAGCTATTCCATTTCAGATGTAAGATCCAGTCAGGATAAAGCAAAGTTTGCGTTAGTATTAACAGGAGGCGTAGTGGACAATGATTTTTGTACAGCTGAAAAGAAATTATAGCTGAATAAGATTTAGTGTGCTGTAGCTGCGAAACGTTATTTCCTTTTAGTACAAAATGCGTTTCAACTTTGCGAGTTGTCACGTTCACTTTTTCTAGTTTTTAGACGTAAAAAGATTTACGAGTAGCCTATGTCTTGCGGCGGACCCGATTTCAATGTTACTAATAACCGCATCGAAAGCACAATTCACGGGGATCCTGACAGGAAACAGGACGGCAGTAGTTGTTGTACTCGAGGAAATCATTGAACTCGGCGTTACGCTGCATTTGCGAACCAAAACTATATATAGACAAGGTATTAAGAATAAATTGTACAATAAAGAAATTAATCGAATAAAATTAGGCAGTACACCTCAGTCGCGTCTCAGTACTGTATATCCAAGACAAAAAGAAAAAATGATTAGCGTGTATTATTCATAACCCTCGTACATACGTGTAAGTTACAAATGAAAAAAAGAATTTCTGAGTGACAAAATACATCATAATTGAAACATTTTATTTTTACATTTCTATTGATTTCTGTATGTCTTCCCATTTTTATCCTTGTTTGTCTTTCTACATTCAATTACATATTTATTCGAATTTTGAAACATTTATATTGTAAAAATATAAAACTATTATTTATTTTTTGCACTTTATTTATACGACTATAAGACGGTGGATTTTATTTTCTTAGGTGTTTGCTCCGGTTTGTCCTGTTTTCTCGAAGCAGACTTGCAACGCACCTGTATACAGAACAATGCAGTTGAAAATTCCACTGTTTTCTTTGGTTATTGATTCTGACTTCTATATCAAAATTAGTTACCGTTTTTTTGACTGAAGAAACCTTTTGTTTCCTTTTAATTGATTTTTTATCCGCTTCATTATTGATCACTTGCATATTTTCGAATATCATGTCGTATTCGGAATCACTGTCCAAAACTGTTTGCTTACTTTCTCCATTAGCAACGTTACTTTTGTTATTATTAGCAGTATATGATTGTACACAATTTCCGTTCTCTTCATTTTCGGCAGACAAGGAAAAACCTGCATGCAACAACATGCATGACATCCTTGATGTTAAATAAATCTGCAAAGTAAAGATTTATTTGTATTTCTTTTTCTATAGATTTGCGTAGAACATTTACTTTTCATTTACATTACCTTTTTTATTAATTTCTTTGTATTTATGTGATGAATTCGTAAGAATCTGTCTAAGCTAACACTAACAATGTAAGGTTCACTTGTACTGCAAGATATACCAGTCACTCCACCAACAAATCCTTTATACGTATTCAGTACTTTTGCTGGTTTTCTCAAATCTATGAGGTTCATTCTACCTTTACCAGATCCTACTATAATTTGCCTGCAACAATAGTAACACATAGTAAATTTATATAGATGTTTGCTCCTTTACAGTAATTCATACATACTTCTCTCTTGGTGTAACAGCTAAAGTTGTCCATGGTTCATCTTTAACTTCTAAATTTATAACAGGCCTCCTCTGTGCTTTTTGGTCATGTAATTGTATCTTCAATGATTTAATTCAATTTATAAGTAAGAATGCAATGGCAATAAGAATATTTTATAAATGGTAAGTTTCTTACATGTCCATATCGGCCAACAGAAACAATTTGTTCTGTATTAGGAAGGAAATCAATATCAGAAATCCAAATCGGCACCCTCATTTCCAACCAATCATTAGGTACATTTTTTGCAACAAACACTTTCTCCTGTTTTTCTAAATCGAATAGTTTTAATGGATGTTCCTTGCCTCCAGTAGCAATTATATTTTTTCTTGCTTTACAATGACGCATTCTGTCTAAATTTTCACCAGCATTTATTAAAATTCCATTTTCTTCTTCAAAACGCCAGAGCTTTACTTCTCCAGATTGAATTGCAGTTAAGATTGCTCTGAAAGATTTATCATGAAAACGTAAAATTTGCCTACATAAGATTTGAAACATCAATGGATTTTCAAAGAATTTATTACTTACTCATCGTATCTTGATATACCATTTATTTTTCCTGATCCAATATTGCAAAGAAAGGAACATGTAAACGATGCACACTCTATATCATAAACTTTTATACTGTAAAATAAGCAAAGTTATGATTATAGTTATTAATGTATTTGATACTCTTAAAGATTCTTAATTTAGTAAATCATTTATATATAACCTCCTAATCTGTTTCATTCCACACGCGATCAAAATTTCTTTCTCCTCATCATTACCCCATGACATTGTTGTGATCTCATCATTATCTGTTATAGATACCAAGTTTTGTATATTTTCTATCACATAATTATTTTTATGTACTTTTACACCTGTTAACGAGAATTTGAAATTCAGTAATTAGATCTTATAAAATAGGTCTAAAGTTAACATACATAAGAAATAAAATATCAAAAATATTATGCGTAGAGATTTTACTCTATCAGAATATCAGTACATTTAAGAATACTTTTGATTCTAATTTTACACTATTCTCTTCCATAAATATCATTCTCATCAACTCCTCTTTAATGTATAGATTAAAAATTAGAATAACCAGTAAATTAAAAAGAAATCTTATAATTACCTTTAAAAACGCCAGTATTACCACCAACGTAAATATCAAATTGATTTTGATGATTCATTTTTAACAAATGTAGATTATAAATGACATAAAAGTTTAAACTCCGTAAAACATTTAATCCGGTGCAACCATGTGGTTAAGCAGAAATGTTTATCACACTGAAGTTTACGTTTAAAAATTCTTCATCTTGAAGTTAGCATTGAGCTTTAACCACAAACTATATAAAGCTCAGCTAAGTGTCTACAGTTCGCCTAAACCCATGCGGAAGAGCAAGTTGATAACCGCTGTGGAGGGCAAGAGGAGTCATCAATTACCAACGAAGACATATGGGAGTAAGGACAGAGATAGTTAGTGGTGCCACCTGGCGGAGAGAAATTGGTATTATTTGGTTAGAAGTTTGAGCGCTATCGTAATAGGTAGCGCCACCAATTCTGGATAAGGAAAGACAACGATTGATTAATAGTAGCGAGAAGGATACAGATAGCTGATTAATTTGGGCCAATCAGC